GTAATTTTATAGTGATATGGTTATTTATGGAAACAAAACTATTGTTATGAGACGGACAAAAATGGTAAACAAGACTATTGTATTAGGACTGGGGGAGTATTATATCACAACGTATTACAAATTAAGAAAAAATTGTAAAAATACTTCTATTAGTGTCTTATAATACTAATAGAATGATATTTATATAAAAGATTATATAAATATAATAATATTTTTAGTATTAAGTACAATAATACAAAAAATAAATGTAACATTCCCACGTAACTTGTCATTTCTATTTTTGGAAATATAATTATGCACTTTAATCGTATTTTAAATTTTAAATTTTATAATTTTTTTTAATTTTAATTAAACTATTTACTTATCTTAATATTAATCTATAATTATTTTTACTAAAAAATAATTATTGTTACTAATACACTTCTTAATTACTTACTAATTATATTTTACCTAAATTCCCGTGTTTACAGTAATACACCCATATTATATGGTACGGAAGGAATACTATTTTTTGAATAAAATATTATATTAAAACTACTATTTAAATAAAAAATCAAAATTAAATTCTTAAATAAATTACCAAGTAAACACACCCTAAATAATTTGATTCTAATGTTGTTACACAATTTTAATAGGGATTTATGTTGCTAGTGGTCCTAAGTCAAAGTTTAATGAGGCTTGATAAAATATTATTATATTATTATTAAATATTCAATAAAATAAAATAGACGAATTTTGAGGTTAAAATCAAGCTCTTCATTTATAAAACTAGCAAGCTTAAAATCAGCTAGACATATTTGTTTGAAGGTTTGGATTTTGAGTTGATATTTGAATAGTAAAAATTTTGAATTTAGTTGTATGATGTGATATAAATAGCCGTTGCTGCGATATTTTTTGATATAATATAAAAAATAAAAAATAAATGTTTAATTTAATATTTTTAAAAAAAAAAAATTGATGAATAGTAATTTTTGAGAAAAATCCCCCAAACAAACAAATTTTTTGGAAAAAATTTGATGAATTACTGTAGGATTTGACTTTGACTTCAGAAATTCAACTTCAAGCAGGAAATTATTATTTTTACATTATAAAATTTTAAATGAAGAAAATTAATAAATATATATTATATAAAATTTTATTATTTTATTATTTTTTACAATAAAAAATACATATATTTTAAAGTTATAATCAGCTACCTATAACCCCCAAATAGGTCCATCCTGTCTACAACAATAATAATAGTTATATTTTTTATCATTTTTTTTGTGTTACTACTAATTTTTTTCAGGCTATTAAAAATATATACATATTATTCTATCAAATAAAATATCATATCAAATATAAAATTAAATTACATCATAATTAATTAAATATGAGTTCTATTGAGTTTTTATTTTTCATTGAATGGTTATGCATGAATATTTTGTTTAAAATTTAATATCATAATCTACTCCCTCCATTCTAGGATTTAAAAAAACTTCCGAATTTTTAAAAAATATTTACCAAATCTAAATCAATTTAATTAAATTTTTAATGCCTTAAGTGTAAGACTCACTTAAAATTCCTTTACTTTTATTTTTTTTCTTAATAAACAAACATTTACTATATTAAAATTCTCTATTTTTTTTTTATAAAACTAGTTTAGATTAATTATAAATAAATATATATATTTTAATCCATTTGAATTATATATAAATTTTATTCTCTATAAAATTATATCTGTATTATATATATTTTATCGAAATATAAAATCAAAATTAATTAAACACATATTCTAAAGTTCTTAATAATATACTCTCCAACAATATTTATATTTTGGTATGTCTGATATAACTTTTATTTTCTTCCTTAAAAAATAATTATACACATTAATTACATTTTAAATTTATTTCTTAATTTTAATTAAATTATTTTGTTTTTTTAATTTTAATTTATAATTATTTGTACTATACAATAATTATGTTTATATTTTCTTACTAATTATAACCTTACTCAATTCTTGTATGTACGGAAACCTTTACATTTGACGAAGCGAGTATAATAATTCATATTTTTAAAAGTACAAATAGCATTTTTCTTACATAAATATATATATATATATATATAAAATAATATCATAAAATTTTTATTATTAATTTAGCAATCGCTGCTACATAAATAATCGTATTCTAAACAAATAAGTCATATGTTCTCGGACAAAAAGAGTATTCATTTTACATTATTCTATTAATTTAACGTACAATAATTTATAGATTATTTTTTATAATAAGGTAAGTATAGTTGAATATATATACTCCTTCCGTCCCATATCAATATATTCATTTACTTTTTATACGAAATTTTAGAAATATTAGTATTATATTGGGATAAAGTAAAAATAAAGATAAAAAGACTAAATTATCCATATTAGTATTGTATGATATAAATGTAATAACGTTTGTGTAATACTCCCTCCGTCCCGGAACTAAATATCCATTTGCTTTTTGCACGTAGTTTTAGAAATATTAGTATTATATTGGGATATAGTAGAAATAAAGTAGAAATAACTAAAATAACCTTATTAGTATGTGTGATATAAAGGTAATGACATTTGTGTAATATATTGTAAGTTGTAAGGGTATTTATAATGTTAGGTAGATAGTACAGTTACTAAAAAAGAAAATGGATACTTTGTTATGAGACGGACTAAAATGGAAAAATAGATACTTTGTTATGGGACGGAGGGAGTATATTGTAAATTGGAAGGATATTTGTAAAGTTAGGTAGATAATACAATTACTAAAAAAGAAATGAATACTTTGTCGAGGGACGGACCAAAATGAAAAAAATGGATAGATTGTTAAGGGACGGAGAGAGTATTATAATAACTAAATAAAATTTTAATAATTATTTTTTATAATAAATATTATACTCCCTCCGTCCCAATATAATAGTCTTTGTTTATCATTTTTGTCCGTCCTAAAACAATTGTCTCATTTCTATAAATACTTATCTCACCATCAAATTATCCCTACATTTTCATTATTATTACACAAATGCCACTACTTTTTACACTAATACACTCGTAAGGGCAAAAAATTCTTTTACTCATCATTTTTACCAACTATCAATATAATATTAATATTTCTTAAATATCATATCCAATCCAAATAAGACTATAGTTTTGGAACTGAGGGAATAATAAGTAATTAAAATTTAAATAATCTAAGCTGATTCTTTTATAAATATATAGAAATATCTGCATTAATAAAATACAAACCAACATGTAATATGTGAAATATTACATTAGGGTGTGAGCTTGTGTTTGGATTGGGCTATGTGTGGTTTCATACAATGTCTTTGTTCGGAATTTTGAATTTTTTTATTATTCTTTTAAAAATATCAAATTAAATATTTAATTATTATTATTATTATTGAACTAATATAATTTTGTCTTTGTTCGGAATTTTGAATTTTTTTTATTATTTTTTTTTAAAATATCAAATTAAATATTTAATTTTTTGTATTATTATTGAACTAATATAATTGTGTAGATTTGATTGAACATGAAAATTAAAAAAAAAAATAATATTTTAATATTAAAATAAGATAAATAAAAGGTAGAGTGAAAGTATTAAAGAAAATTTATTAAATGATCCATAAAAAAATAGTAGGATAAGTAGAAAAATAATATCAAACTTATTATTATTTGTTAAAATAAATGTAATGAAATTATATATGAATAGAATTGTTTACTAAAAATAAATTGTGCATAAATTTAACAGACGATCAAAAAATTATATATTTATATAAATTTAACGGACAAAAAGAGTAATATATATTACAAGAAAATTATGAATTTCTTAATTAGGAACTAGGAGAAACAAAATCTTTGAGTTTGATTTGAAAAAATTTGATTTAAATTTTTTATTTTTTTAATATTTGACGGGATATTTAATAAAAGTATATATATACATATATTATCTCGGTCATTGAAATATGTTCTCATTTTTTATTTTTTTTTCTATTAAATTTAATAAATATTGTGTATTAGTGATAGTTGATGATAATTTTGTAAAAATTATTTTATCTCTATGATACGTAAAAGTAATTGAAAATGTATTAATGTAAATAAATATAAATATAAGAGTATTTGTACTATGTAATGGTATTTATACTTATTAAAGAAATAATAAATATTTTTTATTTGAACAATAAAAAAATGACAATATATGCTTTACTAGTGGACACAAGAAGTATTAATTTGAATGTAATTATTTGTAAACAAATAAATATACATATAGTATATTTTTAACAAAAATTATAAAAAATCATAAAAATATATTTCTATTTGTACTATATACTTTTTCTGTCACTTAAATTTGTATTCGTATTTTTCTAATAAAAAAGTATATTATCTTTTCATATTTTTTATCATAAAAATAAAAAATAACAGGAAAATATATTTCTACATTAAAATTCATGCCAAAAACATTTAGCATAGTTCATGAAAATTTAAATTTCAAAATATATTGACATATATTTGAAAATATTTTTAAATACAAGTATATAACATATCTCCCTATTTAATCAAATATCATCTCATTATACCAATAAAAAAAAAAAAAAAATCTCACCAAAACTCAAAAAATAATAAAAATATCAAACAAACACCGCTAAATTAAATGTGCACAGCATATGTCAGTAATAATAATAATATAATATAAATAAATAAATAATGGGACACGTGTTAATTTCGCGACTGAGGAAATTCCCCTGCCACATCAGCAAATGCGTGTCCCCACACTACTGTCAACAAAGATTCTGCTCCAGTTTGAATAAAAATTGTCTTTCTTTTTCACTAGGCAAAATCACATTTATTAAAAAATATATATAAAAAAAAAAGAAAAAAGTAAAAAAATCCCTCTTTTCTGATATTCATCGCAGATAGATGATCGACCTTCAATGGCCTTTTCCCTTTCCCGTCAAATCCAAAATCTCCATATGCCCCTACCCCTACCCCTACCCCTACCCCTCCCTGTATAAATAATCCCTCTGTGACTGAGTGGGAATTAATCTCAATTGTTTCGAATAATCATCATCGTAGGGTTTCGGGGAAATAGAAAGGATTTTTGGGATTAGAACAACATTCGATATTACATATATATGTATATATGTATATGTGTTGTGCGAACCCTCCATAGTGCGCGGCATATTCCTCTTTGGTGGATTCATATTCAGACAGCAATTGTTCGAGCAGTGTGATGCGATTGGAGGTATAATGCTTGTCTGAGTTTGTAAAGGTGAGGGATTAATTCTCTCTCTAAATGTGTGATTAATCCCAAATGTTGGGCGAGAATCAGTCGCCACTGTCTGTATTCGACGAATTTCTGGTTTAGGTTTTTGTAATCTGCTTCTTCATTGCCACAATTTTGAGGATGAGTGATGAATATATTCACTTTCTTACCATATATGTCGTTTTTTTTGTCCTCTTTATTAGACAATTTTTGCAGAACAACGTATGGTGGGGGCGTCGTTCGTTGTGAACGAATCTGCTTCCACGTAAAGAGCTTCGGAAGAGACAAACAACCGCCGCCCGCCGCCGCCGCCGGAGTTTTCCGATCATGGCGGAGAAGCACGACGATGGTGGTTTTGTCTTGAATCGGAGGATCAGCTTTTCCATATTCTTCAACAATTTTAGGTAAATTTACTTTTCAGTTTTCTTTCAATCTAAGCAGATCGAATTACCAGAACGGTTTTAAATCCCTCAATAAATTTCTTCCTACCATAGCTGTTCTTCATTGTAAGAAAAAGGACATCAAATTCCCCTTTCGGTGATCCTAATTTGCTGCGCACTTCAAAGATTTATAATTCCTTCGGACAGAAGTACAGTTACGAGTTAGGTTCTTCACTGTTAGATTTCGAATTTATAAGCAATAAAAACTGTTCCATCCATGGCTGCGATTTTCGAGCAGGTCAGTGTTCAAACTCGACGAACTAGGTTCGGAGATTGCAAGAATTGCCTTCCCTGCAGCTCTGGCTTTAACCGCCGATCCTATTGCATCCTTAGTCGACACAGCTTTCATCGGCCAAATCGGTACGATAAGAACTCTGTTCTAACATCCTGCTAAAAAGAAGTAAATCTTCATTACCAGCCATGTCTTAACAGGTCCGGTTGAACTTGCTGCCGTGGGAGTTGCCATTGCGTTATTCAACCAGGTATCGAGGATCGCGATATTCCCGCTCGTCAGCGTTACTACATCCTTTGTCGCCGAGGAAGATACAACGAGTGCGGATTCGAAGTACACCTCAGAGGATAGCTTGTCTCCGGACAGCGAAAATCAGAAGCTTATACCTCCTACAGGTGATGGATGCTAAATCCTAATACGAATATGAAGATTATTACATTGTTTAAGACTTACATATAAATTGTCGTTTGCAGCGCTACATTCGGATGAGAATCCGCGGGATGTGGAGTGTCCGCGCGACAGTTTTGAGATGTCTAAATCCGAGGAGGGAAGGAAGCATATTCCGTCAGCATCTTCCGCGCTGATCATCGGAGCAATTCTCGGCCTCATCCAAGCCACATTTTTAATCCTCGAGGCGAAGCCTCTGCTAAGCTTTATGGGAGTCAAAGCAGTAAGTAATAAAAGCGAAATGTACTAAACAAACCAAAGAATCGAGACAAAGAGTATCTCGAATTTCTTGTCTTAATCCTTTCTTGGCGTGTATTGTAGGGTTCAGACATGTTGCGCCCCGCGCAAAAGTACTTACAACTTAGATCACTTGGCGCGCCGGCGGTTCTGTTGTCGTTGGCTATGCAGGGCGTGTTTCGCGGGCTTAAGGACACAAAAACACCGCTCTACGCGACAGGCAAGTGTGGCGATGTCTTAAATATCTATTTAATCACCGAGCTCTGTTTCTTACCGCTTCGATTTTTGTCTGGACGCGCTTTAGTTGCTGGAGATTTGACGAACATTGTGTTGGACCCTATATTTATCTTTGTGTTCAAACTGGGGGTCGTAGGCGCGGCAATTGCGCACGTCATATCTCAGTGAGTTCGACATTACTACAGCCTTCGGCGCTCGACAAAGTTCATAACTTAAAAACATATTATTGTATTGACGTTTTCAGGTATTTAATTTCGCTGATGCTGTTTTGGAGATTAACGGAGCTCGTGAATCTCGTGCCCCCAAGCCTCAAACATTTGCAATTCGATCGGTTTCTGAAAAACGGTAAAAAAAATCTCGTCTGCGATGTTCTTCGCACGATTCGATTCCTGCGCTGAACACGATGATGAACTTTTTTTTATCTTTAGGCTTCCTGTTGCTCATGAGAGTCATAGCTGTAACGTTCTGCGTAACGCTTTCCGCATCGCTCGCCGCGAGGCTCGGATCGAAGCAAATGGCGGCCTTTCAAGTCTGTTTGCAAGTTTGGCTCGCGACTTCTCTTCTCGCCGATGGTTTGGCTGTTGCCGGACAGGTAGACCCGTGTTTCGTTCGATTGATTTTTATTTTTTTTTTAAATAAAAAATCGCGTTCCGAATGATTTAATATAGCAAACTTTCTATCCTCAGGCAATACTCGCTAGCGCGTTCGCGAGAGAAGACCATGCGTGCGCAACCGCGACCGTGTCGCGAGTGCTGCAGGTAAGTTTTCGACTCCAATTAAGCCGTTTTTCTTACAAAAAAGATTAAAACAGTAAGATCTGATTATTACATTGCAGCTGGGATTGGCCCTAGGGATGTTGTTGGCTGTAGTCCTCGGATTCGGACTCCATTTCGGCGCTCGAATTTTTACCAAAGATGCGGATGTCCTTAAACTCATTGCTGTTGGGATCCCGGTAATCCTAAAACTCTTGGTGTCGAATATTCGATCTTGTCCATTTCAAACCTCGAAAATTTATTCATGTTGTCCCAGTTTGTCACGGCGACTCAGCCGATCAATGCGCTGGCGTTTGTGTTCGATGGAGTCAATTTCGGGGCGTCGGACTTCGCCTACTCTGCGTATTCGATGGTATGCTCGAGTTTTCGGAACAAATTTATAGCCTATGCACACAGATTCTTACATCCCTGCAGGTTACAGTGGCAGTGATCAGCATCATAGTGCTGTTGATTCTTTCTTCGAGCAATGGATTCGTCGGAATCTGGGTTGCCCTAACCATCTACATGAGCTTAAGAGCCTTTGCTGGATTTTGGAGGTAAGAATTTTCGAATTAGGGTTTTAATCAAATGAATCTGAATTTGAATTTGAATCTGAATTTGAATGTGATTACAATCTCTTGTGTATTGCAGAATAGGCACTGAATCAGGGCCATGGAAATTTCTCAGGAGCTGATACATGTATGTATATATATATATATATATATGGTTGTGATTCATAAATATATATATAAATATATATATATACAATGTGATAGAAATTGGAAACACTGTAAGTATATTCGGTGTTGTACGATGATAGAAATGTAAGAAATGTAGCGATTGAAATGCAAGAACTAACCAGACTTTCGAACCCTGCTCTACTCTAAATCCATGAATTGAATGTTTTTGCAAGACACCATTTTTATAGAACAAATTACACATAATCCTTAAATTTTCCGACCGTTACCCGACGACGCTGGTGTTCGAGTCGTCGGAGGGCCATATCACGGTCTCGATGAGGCGCTCGCGCATCAGCTCTAGATTCTGCTCCGATATCCTCTCGTACATCTCCGCGTGATCGCATTTCTAGCGAACGAAAACAAATTTGTCAGCTTTAGGACATTCAAATCGATTAATCAAAAACCAAAATGATCGTAGTCTTCATCATTAAAATAAATGGTCTATATACAAACAACATAGAACAGACTTCGATAGATTAAATCTAAATATTAAATATCTAAAATATTTCAACATAGTTGTTTATCGAGCGAACCTTAACCCATTTCCCATAGAGGTGAAGCCGAGTCACCATTACCCGTTCCGCAAGGTCTTGCTTGTCCTGACAACGTCGAGCAATTCGATATTACAAAGGAAGCGACCTCGAATTGAATCGAATCAAATCAAATCAAATCGTAGTACCTTTACGAGGTTGCGAATGAAGCTCTTCCCGTAGCCGAGCTCGTTAGAAGCAATATAACTTCAAAAACATCAAAGAAACATAGAATCATCATCGGATGTAGCAAAATAGCACTACAAGAAAATTACATTTTTGAAATAAAAAATTTTCATCCCTTGATCCACTTTTTCCGTCACTAGGACAAAATAGCGATCAATTAAATTAGCTACTTGAATTCTAGAAATAAAATTTCCGTTACAAATATGTAAGAAATGAAGATTATATTATTGTCCGTACGTACTTATAGAACCATCGATACTGTGTAGGGTTCATCTCGTAGAGCTGATGCAACACAGTCCTAACTGCTTTGTAAGTAAAGTAGTCGAGAATTTGCTACAACAACGAAAACCACATACAAAATTAATCAGTGGAAACTATTTCAAATCAGAAACCCTAATTCGGACATCGAAAATGCAAAAATCCCCAAATTAAATCCTTACTCTCTTAATGTCGTCGAAGTTGTCCTCATACTGTCCGGCGAGTTCATCCACCACCACAAAACAGCCCCTGCTTTTCCTCTGCTTTCTCAAATTCTTACCGCCGGAGAGAGCCTTCACCGACGACGGATCGAGAAAGGAGCTGCTCAATCGAGGCACGTGCTTCCGCCCCGCCGGCGGTCTCTGCTGGACACAGTCGCCGCCGCCTGCGACGGCGTCGAAGCACCAGCAAGGACATGTCCTGGAATCGATCAGTGACGAACCTACAACAGATACCGCCGCCGCCGTCGCCGCCGCCGGAGACATGTTCAAAAGCTCCAACTGATTTGTTTTGCCCTAGAAAGAAATAAAACTGATATTCCTGATTGAAAAGTTCCACTTTTCTTGGAAAATCGGATCTCTGTTGATTTAATACAAACGGCTGGAGAATTCAATTCAGACAAGACAAGCTCTCCGAGGAAAATTCAAGGTAGTTGGAGAGCTCGTCCGGCGAAGGAAGGAGGAAAGGAATTCAAATTCACGACGCAACGAGGGATACTGGAACACGTTAAAATGGATGCAAATGTTCTTTTTTGGGGGGGTGGGTGGATCGAACTCTGACCAGAATAATTTTGTGTGGCCAAGAATCGCCATTTGGTTCCGACAGAGCTTTTGAGTCTCCAATGTGTTTGCGTGTCGTGTCTCGAATGGAGACAAAAAGAACAATGAAGAAATTGGGTAGGAGTTAGGACGGCTCAGATTGATCCTCCATCGCCACGTGAGTGAATGAGCTTGAATCTTCTACGAAAAGAAAATGGCAGATTCTCTTCGTCCACGTGTAATCTCCTGAGGAAGAAAAAAAATTAAACATTTCTTTTGTAAAACTTTTTCGAAATACATATATTTTTTTTTAAAAAAAAATAAATTATTTTTATATTATTTATATAATTTTCTATGTTATATATATATTTTTTTTTTCTTGGAGGCAAAACACAAAACAAACACTTCAAATAAAGAAGGGCTGTAATATTTGAGTCGCCATATTCCATGATATGTGTTTTTGAATTTGATTTTAATTTTTTATTCTTAATACAATCTTATTTTAGGTAAAATATAGTAATGTTTTTAAATTATTATTCAGATAAAAAAAATAATATAATAAAAAAAATTATTATTCATCTAAAAAAATTCAATACAATTCTCAATATAATATATTTTTATTTTTTTTATAAGATAATCATAATTCAATTTAAAATATTATTATATTTGTTCATCAAATATATGTTTACTTGAATTTAAAACGTATTTTAACGAATATAATATTATATTAATTTAGTGTAAGATAAAATAAAAATATATTAAAAAATATATAAATAAATTTTTTTGTTAAAAAAAATCATAATATTTCTCATATTGTCTAGCTGCAAGTCTCCCCTTTCATCTTAGACTAAAAACATTGTTAAAGGAACTTTTTTAAATATAATTACTTTTAAAGATAAATTAAAAATGATAGGATATCATATGACTACTTGATAAGACAAAAGCATATTATATTAAATATAAAGGCTTGTAATTTTTATGAATTTGCATTTAGATTCAAGTATTGTTTGAAAATCTCAATCGGATTACGTCACGTAACTAATTTGATTTTTATTTTTTTTATTTCTATCATTAAAAATTCTTTTTATTACGTTGGATAATAGTTTCATTCAAAGTGATTCACAGTCGAATTAAAAAACTAATAGATAATGAGATCGAAGTAAAAAATAGAAGAAAAATACAATTGGGTAGAAATACGTAAGAACGTGTGTTTGTTGTGTGTCGGTGAGTTCTTTGCAAAATCAATGAGAATCAAGTTGTAAACGGACAAATGTATGTATAAAAACATTATGCATTTGGATGGTAAATAATGCAACATATAAGTGCCAATGAAAATTTGATTATCTCTTAAGAATTGTGATTTTTCTTTATTGCAAGTGGCCTCAAAATACATCACAATGACATATTTGAATTATTTTAAATATTGTGGGCAAAGAAGAATATTTTGGAAAAATCTCCTTTGTAATTACGATGAAATTAGTGTGGTTGTTATGGTCTTCAGAGTTTCAAAAATAATAGACATACATTGTGTAAGTATATTAAAAGAAAATAAAATCGTCATTAACGAGCTACACTGAAAAAATAAGAAAGAAGAAGATCATGAGTTTCATTCTAAAATACTTTTATTTTTTTGTCATTTTATTATAAAGGATTATCAATGAAATTTTTTGTTAATACAAGTTAGAAATATTAGTCTGAAAAAGAATAAATATGAATGAGACAGGAAAAATTCAATTGCAATTATTTGAAAAAGGATCAAAAGTCCCTCGTACCAATAACTTTATACATACGCATTGTATATTTGAGGGGGGTATATACGCATTGTGTATTTGAGGGGGTGTAAAGGGGGCGTGAGAGGTTAGATACTTAGATCGGAAAGGGGATGATTATCCCTTTCCGAATTATTCATACATTTGAATGATAGAAAAAATTTATAACACGAACCAATTCCAAGCTTCAAAATTTATATAAGTGCATCTCCGAACGTTTTAATAGTAACTAAATGCATGCTCAAACTTTTTACTATTTGAAAATTTCTACAAATTTTTAAAATATATCTAAATATAAATTTTATAAAAATATTCAAATAAAATTATACATAAATATAAATAAAAAAATTTAGAGATATTACATCTGTGTTTAGATAACTTCAACAAATTCAATAGTATTTTTTTTGCTAAATAATAATAATAGTAATAGTAATAATAATAATAATATAATATCGAGATATATTGTGAGAGAAACACAAGTTCATTATTCACATGTTGAATCAATATATCCAGTTTAGTGTTGGGAGCACCTAAAATATAGCTGGCAGTACATAACACTAAACAAATAACATATGATAATAATTCACACAACACATGTATTCATTTGTCTCAGCATATATTACACATTAGCACAATACACCATATATAATACACAGATAATACATACTAATAATATATACAACACATATTGTTTAATAGTAACAATGTGTTGTGTATTTATTATAATGTGTTGATTTGAGCCAATATCATGGTATTAAATAGTTTCAATCAACATCATAAATAATTCGAGAGATCTCCGAAAGGGTTTAAATTTTCTGTCAAGTTTAATTATGTAATGTAAACTTATCTTATATTTTGTAATTAATATCTCTGATGTATAAACTATTTAATATTTTTTAATAGATACAATATATAAAAATTCAATATAATTGGTTTGAACATTGTGATGACAGTTTAAAATATATTTTTTTGTAACTATATAAATTTTAATACATTCAACATATGATATTATTCAAATTGAACAATTAATTTACTTATTAATACGGGTACTCACTAAATATGACTAACAAATATAGTTAATAACTAGGCTTTAATAAATGAGCTTCATTAATTTGACCTGATGCAATCAAATTTGGCACTTCCCAAATTAGAATATGAGGAGAAAATAAAATATAGTTAAATTCTCGGCATGGACGATGATGATGATCCATAGCTCGATTAATCAACGAATGTATAATACCGATTTAATTAATTCAGGTAACTATCTATGGAGGATGATTAATTACAAAGACGACAAATAGGCAACATGTGATACTCCAAACTTTGATATTATACAACAGCAACACAATATTCCAAAGCTCAAGAAATTCAATGATCAATAAGTAAAATTATATATACATGTTAATTCATTTATACAGATTTTCTGATTTAGGTTATTGTAATAATTATTACAAAATGTGTATTGGATGGTTTCATAATATTCGTGTTGTGGTCTTCAATGCACAATTGATTAATCCTCAATGGTTATAATTTCATCTTTTTTCAAAGTGTCAAAATTAAGGATTTAATTTGATAAATTCATCCCAGACCAGGTGTTAATTTGTTTAATTTTAAAGAACCATTTCTTGTCTAGATTTCGATCTTGAATCTCTAATTAGATGCATTCTTTTTATTGTTTGGGGTGTGTTATTTTGTATGCATTTTGATTCAGAAACAATTGTGAATCTTATTTGGTTTTTACACCACTATTTTGATTTCGTTTTCATTAGCTTAGTTGTTTGGGTTTTGTAGTGTTTTGATGCATTCTAAATGTCCTCAAATGTGTTCAAAATTTGAAGCAGCAAGACCCTCGTACGACTTAGCCAATTGGCGAGCAAATATCGATCTAACTCAAATGGCGACATAAGGGTTGGATGTAAAGTACATTTTTTACTTTAACTTGGGTTTCAGAACAAATCACTTTGTTGTGACCCAAGTTTCTTAATCATTAGGTTTTTTATTAAAAGTTTGTGATATTTGTAAATGAGGATTACTAATAAATATATAATGTTTCTCACATTGTTTAGTCTTTATTGCAAGCATTCATCCCATCTTATGTTGGTCTTCTCAAAAGCTTCTCTCGACTTGACAAAATTATAACAAGTGACATAACTAAATATTGAAATAAAATACAAAATTGATAATAATAATTATAATTGAAAAATTGACGCAATCTTTTAAAATATTGAATTATAGATACACAAATATTAAATCACAATTTTATCCTTTTATATCAACAATGCCATAAATTTACATATAAAATATTACTAAAATTTTAGGGGTGCAGTTTCTGATTCATTAATCCATTGTAGTAAATAAATGTAAAATAATAACATTTCGAATCCACATAATACTAATAATAATAATAATAATAATAATAACAAAAACAACAACAAACCAATATATACACATCCGATACAAGAGTATAAAAATTGTAAAGTTTATGTTATTTACGTTGGATTAAAAAATATTATTTTATTAATAATATAACTAAACATTGGTTATAAGTTTTTTTTTTTTCTTGTGAATAATTTTTTTTTTTGTAAGTATAAAAAATAATAATATTTATATTATAGTAATATGAAGGTTAACGAAAATTTATGTTTGATATAATTATTTATAATAGAAAGACTATTCATTTGAAGCATAAAAAAAATTATAAACGAGGCAATTGGGGACGGAATATTATTTTAATATATAAAATATAGATATATTGAATAATTATATAATCATAGTGAAAGAAAATCACAATTAATATAATTTGTAGCTAAAAATATCTTTGAAAATAATAAAAATTTAAATAAAAATTTTATTTTGATATTAAATGAATAGATGTTTGTTATAAATTTATATATAATAAATATATGCGTATACATATATATGTAATTATATATATAAAAAAAAAAATTCTTAACTTCAACTGATGTTTTTATTTGACAGAATAATGTAAGACTTTGAATCGGATTGTGAATAAAACAATTTATTTCATTTAGGCATGAAGCATCAAGCTATATTAATGGCAAAGTGAATAAACCTATGTATTAAAAAAAAAAAAAAAAAGGAAAAGAAATCACATCATAAAATAAAAATGACATAAAATTAAATATAAAAAGTTAATATGATAATTAGAATTTAAAAAACTTTGCTACAAAAACAACCATAAACATGATATTAGTCAATTAATTAATTAACTTATTTATATTTTATTAAAATGTAATTTTTT